CCAAAGAATACATATTCTATTCATACAAATCTATCCTAAAAAAATCTTGTCGGCATTAAATAACCCATTGAGGTTGATATGCCGTAAAACAAAATAAACCAAACCAATCTAAACCAAAGAATACATATTCTATTCATACAAATCTATCCTAAAAAATCTTGTCGGCATTAAATAACCCATTGAGGTTGATATGCCGTAAAACAAAATAAACCAAACCAAACTAAACCAAAGAATACATATTCTATTCATACAAATCTATCCTAAAAAAATCTTGTCGGCATTAAATAACCCATTGAGGTTGATATGCCGTAAAACAAAATAAACCAAACCAAACTAAACCAAAGAATACATATTCTATTCATACAAATCTATCCTAAAAAAATCTTGTCGGCATTAAATAACCCATTGAGGTTGATATGCCGTAAAACAAAATAAACCAAACCAATCTAAACCAAAGAATACATATTCTATTCATACAAATCTATCAAAAAAAATCTTGTCGGCATTAAATAACCCATTGAGGTTGATATGCCAAAAAAAAATTAAAAACCAAAAATAAACCAAACCAAACTAAACCAAAGAATACATATTCTATTCATACAAATCTATCCTAAAAAAATCTTGTCGGCATTAAATAACCCATTGAGGTTGATATGCCGTAAAACAAAATAAACCAAACCAACTAAACCAAATTCTATTCAAACTAATCAAAAAAAAAAAGCATTAAATAACCCATTGAGGTTGATATTAAAACAAAATAAACCAAACCAAACTAAACCAAAGAATACATATTCTATTCAACAAAAATCCTAAAAAAATCTTGTCGGCATTAAATAACCCATTGACGTTGATATGCCGTAAAACAAAATAAACCAAACCAATCTAAACCAAAGAATACATATTCTATTCATACAAATCTATCCTAAAAAAATCTTGTCGGCATTAAATAACCCATTGAGGTTGATATGCCGTAAAACAAAATAAACCAAACCAAACTAAACCAAAAAGAATACATATTCTATTCATACAAATCTATCTAAAAAAAATCTTTGTCGGCATTAAATAACCCATTGAGGTTGATATGCCGTAAAACAAAATAAACCAAACCAAACTAAACCAAAGAATACATATTCTATTCATACAAATCTATCCTAAAAAATCTTGTCGGCATTAAATAACCCATTGAGGTTGATATGCCGTAAAAAACAAAATAAACCAAACCAAATCTCCTAAAAAACCAAAGAATACATATTCTATTCATAAACAAACCAAATCTATCCTATTCATACAAATCTAAAAAAATCTTGTCGGCATTAAATAACCCATTGAGGTTGATATGCCGTAAAACAAAAATAAACCAAACCAAACTAAACCAAAGAATACATATTCTATTCATACAAATCTATCCTAAAAAATCTTGTCGGCATTAAATAACCCATTGAGGTTGATATGCCGTAAAACAAAAATAAACCAAACCAAACTAAACCAAAGAATACATATTCTATTCATACAAATCTATCCTAAAAAATCTTGTCGGCATTAAATAACCCATTGAGGTTGATATGCCGTAAAACAAAATAAACCAAACCAAACTAAACCAAAGAATACATATTCTATTCATACAAATCTATCCTAAAAAATCTTGTCGGCATTAAATAACCCATTGAGGTTGATATGCCGTAAAACAAAATAAACCAAACCAAACTAAACCAAAGAATACATATTCTATTCATACAAATCTATCCTAAAAAAAAAATCTTGTCGGCATTAAATAACCCATTGAGGTTGATATGCCGTAAAACAAAATAAACCAAACCAAACTAAACCAAAGAATACATATTCTATTCATACAAATCTATCCTAAAAAATCTTGTCGGCATTAAATAACCCATTGAGGTTGATATGCCGTAAAACAAAATAAACCAAACCAAACTAAACCAAAGAATACATATTCTATTCATACAAATCTATCCTAAAAAATCTTGTCGGCATTAAATAACCCATTGAGGTTGATATGCCGTAAAACAAAATAAACCAAACCAAACTAAACCAAAGAATACATATTCTATTCATACAAATCTATCCTAAAAAAATCTTGTCGGCATTAAATAACCCATTGAGGTTGATATGCCGTAAAACAAAATAAACCAAACCAAACTAAACCAAAGAATACATATTCTATTCATACAAATCTATCCTAAAAAAATCTTGTCGGCATTAAATAACCCATTGAGGTTGATATGCCGTAAAACAAAATAAACCAAACCAAACTAAACCAAAGAATACATATTCTATTCATACAAATCTATCCTAAAAATCTTGTCGGCATTAAATAACTCATTGAGGTTGATATGCCGTAAAACAAAATAAACCAAACCAATCTAAACCAAAGAATACATATTCTATTCATACAAATCTATCCTAAAAAAATCTTGTCGGCATTAAATAACCCATTGAGGTTGATATGCCGTAAAACAAAATAAACCAAACCAAACTAAAC